AGGAGCGCGAGTACACTGTGCTGAATACGTTGGAGTTCAATTCGACGCGGAAGCGGATGAGCGCTATTATGCGGATGCCGGATGGGAAAATTGTGCTGTTCTGCAAGGGCGCGGATAGCGTTATCTACTCCCGGCTGAAGAAGGGCGAGCAGCCCGAGCTGAGGCGGCAGACGGCGGAGCATTTGGAGATGTTCGCGAGAGAAGGGTTGCGCACGCTGTGTATTGCGCAGCGCGAGCTGGGCGAGGAAGAGTACCAGAAGTGGAATATCGACCACGACCTCGCGGCCGCGGCGGTGCAGGAGCGGGAGGAGAAGCTGGACGCCGTGGCGGACACCATCGAGCGGGAACTGACGCTTATCGGCGGGACGGCCATCGAAGACCGACTGCAGGACGGCGTGCCGGATGCGATTCAGTTGCTGGCGCAGGCGGGCATCAAGCTCTGGGTGCTGACGGGGGATAAGGTGGAGACGGCGATCAATATCGGCTTCTCGTGCAATCTGCTGAATAACGATATGGAGCTTATCGTGCTCAAGGTCGACGACGAGAATGTGCAGGCGGCGGAGGGGACGCTGGACCAGGAGCTAGCGAAGTTCGGGAAGAGCGGGTCGGATGAGGAGTTGAAAGCCGCGAAGAAGAACCATGAGCCGCCGGCGCCGACGCACGCCTTGGTTATTGACGGCGATACGCTGAAATTGGTGCTGGACAACCGGCTGCGGCAGAAGTTCTTGCTGCTGTGCAAGGAGTGCAAGTCCGTGCTCTGCTGCCGGGTGAGTCCGTCGCAGAAGGCGGCCGTGGTGCAGATGGTCAAGGCCGGGTTGGAGGTCATGACGCTGTCGATTGGGGATGGGGCGAACGACGTGGCGATGATTCAGGAGGCGGATGTCGGGGTGGGGATTGCGGGCGAGGAGGGCAGGCAGGCGGTCATGAGTTCGGATTATGCGATTGGGCAGTTTCGGTTCTTGACCAGGTTGATGCTTGTGCATGGACGGTGGAGTTATCGGAGGCTGTCGGAGACGATTGCGAATTTCTTTTACAAGGTGAGTCCTGCCGTGGCATCTCTGAGGTTCCTACTGGATGTGAGGCTGACACGTGACTGCGCGACAGAACATCGTCTGGACCTTCGCCCTCTTCTGGTACCAGATCTACACCAACATGGACTGCTCCTACGCCTTCGACTACTCCTACATCCTCCTCTACAACCTGGCCTTCACCTCCCTCGCCCCAATCTTCATGGGCATCCTAGACCAAGACGTCAACGACAAAGTCTCCCTCGCGGTGCCGGGCCTCTACCGCCGCGGCATCGAGCGCGCCGAGTGGACCCAGCTGAAATTCTGGACCTACATGGCCGACGGCCTCTACCAGTCCCTCATCTGCTACTTCTTCACCTACCTCATCTTCCGCCCCGCCAACTTCAACACCGAGTCCGGCCACGTCATCAGCGACTACAAGCGCATGGGCGTCTTCATCGGCAACCCCGTGGTGGTGGTGGTCAACATCTACATCCTGCTCAACACCTACCGCTGGGACTGGTTCATGTGCCTCATCACCGGCATCTCCATCCTCTCC